GCCACTTTTTTGTTCTTACCACATTTTGACTTCATCTGTGATCTATTACTGAACAGACGCACGGCAACATGGAATCTATTTGTTAATTATATTTCTATCTCCATTGTGTAGTTTTTTTTTACTGATTTATTGCCTTTTTTACAGTGGATATGTGCATTGCTATTGCATTAGCTAGTATAAGCAGCAAAAGTAGTCGATACTTTACGATATTTAAGCCCTTATTTTACGTGTATTTCAAATGCATCTGGCGATAATTCTCTTATATGCCTGGCCAATATTGTGCAGGTGCTGTGGTCTACATGGTCTTAGGGATAGGAAAACCAACATTTTTTGGGGGGGAGAGAAACATTTTTGTAGCTAGTGAGTGACATGATTCTTTGCCATCCTAAAATCTCTTTCTTAAGCCATCTTGTAGAAACAGTGAAGAGTTCATGAAAGTAAATCTTGTCAGGGTGAATACAATGTATGAAATAGTTTGTTTACTACCAACAGCTTTTTGTATGATTGTCTTTGCAGGATTGATGGTACATCTCATTCCTGGCCTCTCCAAGCAGTACCCAAAGGTTCTATTCCAGTGCCAGCTGCGACATCCAATGCTGGCAGTACTACTAGCAGCTTTGGTTCCTTTCCAGGACAAACCATCTGGTCAACTGAAGTGAATGCTCATATCACCCCTCCCTTATCACCCCTTGACATGTCCCCACCATCCAGCCTGACAAATTCTTCACTAGGAACCACTCCTCCGCTGCCTCCAACTCCTTTAATACCTGCAAGCTCTTTGACCAATTCATCTGGCAGTGCTTCACCTACAGTGAATGGTTATCATGATGAACTCTCTCCATATCCATCCCCTACTGGACAACAATTTGGCTCACAAGACACTTTATCTCATACTTTGTTCATGCCCATTAAAGATACAACTATGGGAAGTAAGGGGTGGAATTCTTCAGAATCTGGCTACTATTCAAGCAATGGTTCCTGTCGCCGTTCTCAACCATCTCCAAGTTCAGCCCCAGCACATGCGTACTGTAATTCTTCACCAAAGGCACGTCCACAGTCTCTTACATTTACCAATGGCCATCATTACTATAGCTCACCGAGCATGTCACCATCGTCACCACCTGGACCTGTTCATAGCCACTCTGCTCCAAAGCATTTAAATTCAGGCCATGAGATGAATGGTGGGCCTTGGTACAAACATGCCTCAGCTAGAGAGCATGTTTCGCCAAGTTCTTTGCCTAGGGACGCCCAAACTTCCATTAAAGAGAATGGGCACTCGGGGCACACCATTTTGCATCGCACAAAGAGTCCACTGACCAGCGAACTACATTGTAGGCTTGAAGAATGTTATGAACAACTCCGGAGCCTGGAGAAAGAAAGAAAGAAGGTATTTAGCTCACTGTAGCAAATCAATTTTTGAGTTATTTTTTTTACAAAAAAATACCTCTTAGTCGGCGCGTGGAGTATGTTACGGGTCAATGGGTGAGTGAGTGAGTGAGTAAGTGAGAGATGTATGTATGTCACACCAATCAGATTGGATCTACTATAAACAGCCAATCAAATTTCTTGTTGTAAAGGTAA